CTTGGAAATATTGTCTGAAAACTATAATTAGTGAGTATTTCTCAGCCTTCCAATGTCAATCTAAGTCCAATCCCACAGCCTTAAAGAAGAAAATTTACACTCTCATTCATGCTTCTATGATTTTGTAACAATTCTCAACCTAGTTTACTGGGTTATGCTGTCATTATCAAAATTGACATCACAGAAATGCTACTAATACGTATTTCCAAACTTTCTGACATTCTAGATAAGAAAACCACAGGCAAACCATTGCAAGCTGAGCATCCAACAGCTGCACTATTTCAGATAAAATCATAGTGGAAACATACAGTATGCACAGATATCAGATACACTTTGAAATTCACATTCCATTTCAATTAATCTCTTTTCATTATTAATTCGTTGGAGTTTTTTAGCTTCATGGGCACACAGTATGCAGTGAAGCTTGTGGTTAATCACCTTCTGAGAGAGCAGGTGTTTAAATTCAAAGACCAGCATCACACTTGGTGCTCACCACCACCATCATTAGCAGACTTTATATCCCTTAATTCTCTAGACTGCCTCTAACATTACGCTATGGGCTTGAGTCAGCTACCCACACACAAACTCCTGCTGCCCTTTGAAAGCCCTACAGTGTCATCTTGGCTCATACCTAGGCTTCAAAAAGACACACTTACACCTGCTGTATACCTCTGTGTGCTGTAAGCAGTTAAGTCCTCTCATTGCTTTTGTGTCACATTTGTCAGCCCTGTGCAGGTGTCTTGGACACCTTACAGCTATTTCTATATGAGCAGGTACTATGGATCAGTAGGGGCAGGAAAAAGTTGACACCATCCACACTGCCTCAATCTGAGTTTCTCTTTGGAATAGTTCTAGTCCCATTCCACAGACTGGATGCATTTTTGTGGCTGAAAAGCAGTGCACTCCTCAAGCATCCCTCCCAGTTTACTATTGGCTGAAGTTCATGTGCTCAGACTGCTTTGTTTTACAAACCAAAGCCACAGCAGGTGGGGACAATGGGGAAATTAATTTCCAAGTCATGCTCTTGACGTGAACCATAGCTGGGATTTTGTCCCTCAAGTGATGTCAGGTCATAACAGGCACTTATGTGTGGGGAACTAAATCAAGATCTGAGGGTGAGATTCAGTTCCAGGTTGAGATATCTGAGTGTAGATATCTACAATGTGAATTAGACATCTAAACTTTTCTACTGTTGATAGAAGTTCCACTGAATGCTGACAAGATCCATGAATGTAAAATAGAAACTCATCTCACATGCAGACACCTTACCTTTCATTTTACAAACAGCCTCTAGAACAAAAGGTTTTCTTTCCTCCCTGATCATCCTGATGATCCTCCTGAGTGTCAGCTCGATTAGAATTAATCTTTCTGAATACTGATTATCAAAATTGTCCTATATTCCATATTATGTTTCCTCAGTACCTCATGTATTAATACTTCCACAACAAGCTGCAGATTAGAATCTGATATATTCTAGGGCTGCATTTGCCTTTGCTGCACGGTGCTATTAGTTCAGAGCCACATTCACTATTTTTCTATGAGTCTGGTGTTCAGAGACGTCAAAGCCCTCCTGTTTGATATGCTGATCTTGCTGTATCAATAAACTATTTATTTCATCAGATTCCTAGAATCCTTATTTTTGTATCCTGGTTATTATGAAAAATTAGATAATAGTACAAAGAACCGTTTCTCTTTCAATTTTTTTTTTTTTTTCTCTTCTGTTCAACTAGTTTCTTAACCATCTTAAATTTCTATGTTAACCTGTTTAACCAGACATGTGAATTTCAGCATGAAAATCACGCTAGAAGCCCATGGAAGATCAAGTCTGCATTTATTTTCTCTAGAACATGCTGCTTCTTATTAAATAGTATAATAATTTTGTCTCGTTCAGTGTACTTTGGTTAAATCATGTTGAATTTTATCTCATGTCCATTTGCTGTCATATCTTGATTATTGTTTCCTAATAATTCCTGCTAAAATCTTTGTTGCTATTGATCTTAAACCAACATGCTTTTTGACCCCAAGACATTAACGCTCATCTCTTTTTCTCCATGTTATTAAACAGATGAAAACTTTTTTCTATGCAGACGCTAAGCCCACATGCTAATTTTCTCAGAGTCCTTGGATGGACAACATCTATCTCTTTTATGTGATTACAATGATTTTTTCTTATACCTAATTACAATAATATCCAAACTATCACCTTGATCTCTCATCCATCCTTTCCTTATCCATCCATCTATCTTTCACTCAGTTTCTAATACATTCATAATTTAGGGGTTTTTTCCTAAATTATCCTTAACCCTATCCCAACCCCATTTCTTCTCTCTTTGCTTCCCTTTGATTTCTGAAGCTAAAAACCCTTTTGCTATGGTATTTTCTTATTAAAATATGTAGACATACTACGCAGGTGGTCTCTCCGTGACTGAGAGATATTGGCAGGGAAGGAGGAGAAGTCTATGTTCCTGCTGTGTGCAGCAAGTGTTATGTGAATAAATAAAGCATTTCAGTTTCATCATAACCAGCCTCTGGCTTTTTTCCCAAACACAAATAAAGGGAGAACAGATGAATGCTAGTCATTTTAAGGGAAGTATTAATTTCTGAGCCAAATAATTCACTAGCAAATGTGTTTGCAATTCCTTTGATTGAGCGATTACTCTTTTCCTCATGGATAGCAAGAGCTTTTAGCTAAATAGAAATGTAGCTGATAATACGTATAAGATTCATTAGATAATCTTCCGTATGCATCTAACTTTCTTCTCCTCTGAGCTCAGAATGAAAAACAGTTTTATATCAGGACTTACACTGTGTATAAGCTTTTATAATTTGTAAACACTGTAGGAGTGTCCTTTCATTTGTCTGATGCTGACAGTATATTGATGAAAACTATTACTGTTCTGCAAAGGCTGTTGTCATACTAATGATACAATGTCCTCAGAGCATTGATCACAGAGCATCTTGATAGGAAAACAAAACTTACTTCAACAGGAAAGGAAGGAAGCTTACATCCCTGTCAGTTCCTAAAGCAGATTGTTTCTTCAAAGGTGTGACATATTGTAACAACGTTTCAGGCCTTCTTATTTGTTGGGAAAAAAAACCCAAAACCTCAAAACTCTGATACAGAAGCATTTGCTTAATATAATTATGTTTTCTACAAAATGACTTTTAGACAAATAATGTGACTTAAATACTGATACATACTTGTTTAGAGCAAGATGGGAGATAAATCATCAGGTTGCACTAGGGAATTGAGAGCTGACATGTCCTTCCTCTGCCCCGTTCCCTTTTGAAGCTATTATTTTCTTCTCTCTCTCTGCTGAGAGCAGTGAGTGGCTTCACATCTGAAGTGAATAGAAGTACATTTTTCACTGGAATGAAATTCTGTTTTCTCCACCACGATGTTTATAAACCTCAGATAATAAAACACCATTTTTCACAAACAGAGTCAGAGAATAGGAGATATTATTCTTTTTCCAGGAAAAAAAAAAAAAAAGAAAAAGATTTGCAGTCCCATATTAGTGATTTAGTTTGGGCACATTACTGAATCTTAAGCCTTTGGTAAATCACTCCTAGTTTAAATCAAAGGTATTTTAGCTTTGCATTTTAACATGTCCAGACTAGAAAGGGAATTCCTTCCCTTTTTTGGCTGCTGAAGAGCCCAAACTAGACTTGTTAATCAAAGTGATCAAAACCTTAATCCTGGTTTAATACTTCTAAAGAGTAAACCACAGCATTGTACCCTCCACAAATTCTGAGCGTAGCCTCAATAGAGGACTCCCAGCAGAAGGAGTGCCAGTCACTACATTAACAGATAGAAAGCCCTCTCTGGACAGGTATATCTAAAAATCCAGCCATTGCTGGGGAAGAGCCACCCACCTATTTAGTTAGACTCTTTGTCTATACACAGAGAGAGGTCTTACCCTACTTTCAAAATATAGGAGAAGGAAGCATTCCTTCATCCCCTCTTCCAGTTCTATGTGCTACCTGAAAGCTCTTGCTGAGGATTATTTGCTTCCAGCGACCGTGCCTGCTGGAGGGCTTCCAACCTACATCTCCCATGTCCTTTGAGAGAGCCATAACCACTACCCAACCTGGGAAAGGACATATCACATCTGCAAGCAGGGCTTGGCTTAAATGCCATGTAGGAGTTGCCGTGTTCCATCCAGGCTTGTAGTTCTTCTGTCAGGAAAGGAGCAATGACTATTTACTACTCTTCCAGAACTGCAGCCTTAACAAATAATAAATTCAGGGTCTTTATCATTATAGAAAAGAAAAAAATGTATGGATTTTCACTTCTATGTAGCTTCATGGACTTCATGATTAACACTGTGTAAGCAAAGCCAAAATCTGAAACTCCTAAATGTAAATGGTTGAACAACATTTCTCATGAGTATGCTTCTTTGGGGTTACTTACTTAGAGATGTGGAACTGCAATCATACAAGACTCGAGGAACAAAATAAAAGCTGAGCTACAAAAAAGCAGAGATTATTTAAGTCCTTATGCTACACTATGTGGTGATAAATCTTATTTTGACCAGATACAATTAATTTTATTTTTTTTTCTACATTTTACTTCCCAGTCTTCTCAGATTTGATTTTAAGGTCTTTTTTTTTTTTTTCTGTAAATTGAATAGCTTGTGCTTGATATTGAAATGTGATTTGACAATACTATAGCAGTGAAACTTTAAAGACAAATTATGAAGGATCACCTTTTTTGCTTTTTACAAAAGGTTCATTAAAATTCACCACTGATAAGTGTCAAAGGATACTAATCCACTGATGCCTCCCTGAAACTTTTTGAATTAAGGAAGAAGAAGGAATAAAAAGGGTTTATTACAACCTTTTTGAAACAGAAGAGAATTCAATTATCATCTTCATCAACCTCTGCTACAGAGGCAGCAGTCCTTAATCCTATTTATTAGCTCTAAAAGAAATCATTATGGAATTTGGCTGCTGGGACAGGAGATATATTTATATATTTATGTATTTATCCTTTTCAGGATAACTATTCTTCCACATGGAAGCCTGCGAATCCTGAATGCTTCCAAGTCTGATGAAGGACGGTACTTATGCCAAGGTGTAAATGTATTTGGATCTGCAGAAATCATTGCATCAGTATCTGTTAAAGGTAAGAAAAAATAGTTTGATGATAATGATGATTTCTCTTACTAATATTTCATTATTGCTTAGAATTCCCAGCCAGCCATACAACAGCATTGCACAAGCAGAATAAAAAAGCATCTCCAACTAGCTGGGGGGGTTAACCTCCCTCTGGTCAAACATCATATTCTTGCATCAGATTGTATACTCCAGAATTAATATATCTATTAAATCACTCAGGTTATAATAATTCTGTAAGCAAAAGATCCAATACCCCTTTTAATATATTTTAGCTTTGTGAACTCACTTACCCCTACCTCTTTCTGCATGGGAACAAAGCTTACAATTAAAATAATAATTGTATTAATATAAAATCTAAGGAAAGATAGTTCAATAGAACAGCAATAATAATCAAATCACTGAGTTGCAATTAATTCCTAAACCACATATTTGTCACTTTTTGGCTGAATTCTTATATGATTGTGGGTTTTGGTTTTAGGTGTTCAAGTCCTTTGACTTCATTTTTCCAGCTTCTTCCTATATTTAGTATGCCTGGAAACATCCTTTTTATTTTAAGTGACAAAACTGAGATGTTCCTGCAATCACAAGATTTCAGGTGCTGCAGTCTTAAAAAAAAAAAAAGAAAATTTAATAGCTTTTTTCTGAGACTAATAAAATGAATTAATTAATTAATTAAGTCTTATAGATTGTTGTTTAAGGTTTCTGCCTTATTGCTTCCATGAAACTGGCTGTACCTTCTGTTCACCACTATCATATCTTAGTGTGCTTTATGAATATATTTCAGTATTTGACACTATTTATTTGAAACAAACAGTAAATGTAAGCTTTGAGTAGATTAAAGAGAATGCAATTGTATTATTTTGGCCTTGCACTATAACTAGACTTCCATCTAAATGTTCCTAATCTTTCTATATTTCAAGAACCTACAAGAATAGAGCTGACTCCCAAGAAGATAGAGTTAACAGTTGGAGAAAGCATTGTCCTCAGTTGCAAAGCCCTTCATGACAGCACACTGGATGTCACTTTCTATTGGACACTCAATGGACAGCCAATTGACTTTGAAAAAGAAGGCGGACACTTTGAAAGCATCAAGGCAGTAAGTGACCATGTGTTTGTCATCTATGTGCTGCAAACTGATAGAAATTTGTGTTTTTACATGTCTCCCGCTTACCAAATTCTGAATGAATTGAAAGATAACTGGTTTCACTAACATTGGAAAGAAATGTTAGCTAGAGGAAGTGCAAACTGCAGGTCACTAGAATTACTTCAAGTAGTTTTAATCAAGGAGATATTAAACCTAAACTTATACATCCTGTTACTGGGGAGTCATCTTATGATCTTTGTGAGGGGCAGAAAGTAGTTTGAATCAAATCCTCCTTACATTCTTCTGTTTATTTTAATATAGAAAGGATGCTGCTATAAGCATTGATGTCTTTCTCACAGATAACATGGCTGTTGGAATGCCCTCACCTCCCAATGCTTCTACCTGCTTAGCATATATTTTTATATCTGAATAGCAAGGAGAAAACTTTATTTTCCAACTCCCCTGCATGAACTGTGCAACTGTTATTTAAGTCAATAAGAATCAGATGAAAAAATATGCATATCAATTTCAAATATTGCCCCTTGATTTAAAAACCATTTAATATGATCAAACAGTAGGGTGAAGTAATTCAAACCTGTCCCATGTAACACGGTTTGAACGTTTCTTAGTAGAAAGAAATCTCTTAATATGAACAAGTTTGGAAATAGAATCTACAGTCATTTAACTCAATCTTCCCACTAATGAAATGTAAATCAAATGTCCATGCTATGTTAACAGAGAAAAATGAAGCTCACAAAGGTCAGGAAATTTTAAAAGTTAATGTATCTAATTTAAGTACAATGTAGTGAAGTTAACTTTGCATTAAAAATCTTGTCAGCTGCAATCAATTTATTCTCCTGCTTGCCTTTATGGAAGCCATACTATGTTCACTTTGTGGTGTGTGGTTTGTTTTGGGTTCTGGTTTGTTTTTTTTTTAATTGGGTTTTACTTCAATAAGCTTTTTAATTGGAAAACATTAGTAAAGTATATCTTAGTGCGAAGGTTCTTAGTGTACTTATCTTCATCTGAGGAAGTCCAGTACTCAAAATCCAGCACTAAATATATAGGAAGGAAAACTATCATTCTTTTTTTTTTTTAACTTTGAAGTTAAAACATTCTCTGATTCAAGAAAACATCCTATGATTACAATTTAATTTCAAGTCATTTAAAAAAATTTGAAACCTAAATTAGTTCCTTCAGTGCATTTCAACTTCTCTGTGCTGAAGGGAATTTTTAATCACTGAGAAAATTCCTCAGGCTAGGGAATTTCCAAAGTAATTTCTCCTACCAAAGTAAAGCCAATTTAATGTAATTTCATTTGTTTTACTGAACCAGGATTTTGTAGATCTTTCAACAAGAATACTTCATTAATTTCATTTCTACCAGAGAAGCCCTCAACTTGATAGAAGTAAGGCTCATTCAAAGTGAGAAGCTGGTGGATGACGTACTGGGACTATTTCCAGACAAATATTCATGCAAAACTCACTGAAATTATTGATTCACAGAATCACAGAACCACAGAATGGCAAGGGTTGGAAGGGACCTCAGGAGATCATGTAGTCCAACCCTCTTGATTCCTTTTATTGGCCTGACGTGACTGAAATATTGCCAAAACCTAGTAGATTTAACCAGCTATTTTAGTGTGACTTTATGACTTCCTTCTCACTGTGTTGCTAAAGAGTCACCACTACTTTACTAAGGGAAAATAGTATTAATCACTCATAATGGAGTAAATGCTCAGTGTCTAAATGGCTAAGGGTTAAACAAGGGGGGATTTTAAGTAAAAATCTGGTATCTTTCTTCTCAGAGGTACACAAGCAATTTTTTCTTCCTAAAACATAATGTTTTACAAACAGCAAACTTCAGCTGATCAGAAAATAAAATCAGGCTGAAAAGAAGGCATTGCATATTTCGCAAAATATTACAAAATTAGAACCTATCTTGTCACTGTTAAACCCACGTTAAAATATTAAATACTATGCAACTCTAAAGAAATACCAAAATGAAGCATCAGACCCTAATATTTTTAGACTGGATTAGCTTAATTTGCCTTTACAAGATTGCTCACACAAGAGATGGTGAGGCCATGCTTCATTTACTTGCATTCCTAACTCATTTAAATGTCAAGATATTTCTTTTCTGGTTTGCACTCTAAAAAGAGAATGGAAGGGTAGGCTTGGATCAGCTGGAAGAGGGTTGAAAATACATATTAACATGTTACAGGCAGGATGGGGAGGAACACTCCTTTTCAGAACAGAGATACCAAAACTTGACCCTGTTAGGACAATCCTCACCGAAATTTTCTGAATGCTGTTGGAAACATAATACGACATATCCTTCTCCCTCTTTGAAAGTAATAGTTAAAATGTATGTAGATCTCCATTCACCAAAAGGCTTATCTTGATTTTTGCATTGTCCCAAAATGAAGATGAATCAGTCAAGAGATGCAAAATTCAGGAGTAGCAATTGTGGTAATACAGCATTTTTTCTGTGTTTTGACACAAAAACTCTATAATTCCCACAACTACTTATTTGCGGAATGTTGCCAATTATATATCATTATCATTTCTGTTAACCACATAAGCACGTGACTTTAATCACGAGGATGAAAAGATACTTCTTTACCTACTTAAAACCTAAAGCATGACCAGGTACTAGGAGAAAGCAAGATAAAACTCTTCTGGTTTTCCTGTCATGTAATCTCCTGTAATTTATCCAGCTTCAATGGAGTGATACACAGTGTGATGAAAACACAGGTACAAGAATGCAGAAAAAAGGAAGTTGAAGAAAACTTGAAGTCTGATAGAATTCAATGATAGAATGTTTTGGGTTGGAAGGGACCCCTAGAGGTCACCCAGTCCAACCCCCCCGCAGGAGCAGGGACACCGCTAACCAGATCAGGTTGCTCACAGCCCCGTCCAACCTGGTCTTGAATGCTTCCAGGGATGAGGCCTCCACTACCTCTCTGGGCAACTTGTTCCAGTGTTTCACCACCCTCCTTGTAAAGAATTTCTTCCTTATATCCAGTCTAAACCTACCCTGGTTTAGTTTAAAACCATTACCCCTTGTCCTGTCACAGCTGGCCCTACTAAAAAGATTTTCCCCGTCTTTCCTATAGGTTCCCTTTAAGTACCCTATATCCCTTATTTTGCATTTCTGAATGAAATATTTTTTTTTAAATTGCATGAGTTGATCCTGAACAACATGCTTTTTAATGCAGTACATTTAAGAAAAATAATATCCTTCGTGTGCATGAAGTTCTAGAATTATATATCCATTTTGTTCTGCATAGACTGATACTTCGTCAGATAAAAAAAATGTTCAGGTTTGTTTAGTTTTTGTTTATTTGTTTTAAAGCCTGACAAACTGAACATTATTTGAATAGGTTTTATTAATAACAAAACCATTGTCAACCTCCCACCACTGGTTGCATTGCTCATACTTTCACTGCGGCAGACCCAGGTGTTAAGTATGATGAACATTCTGATGCTTAATGCAGTGTTATAAAAGCTATCACCAGAGTAACATTTATTTGGGCTGTAGATAAATTTCCACTTGCTAAAATTGCATGCTCCCTAGCAATTACAATTAAAAGGAAAAGGAAAAGGTTCTCATAATAATACACATTTCTCTGCTTGTTTTTAAATTATATCTCTAGCTTTTGTACTAAAAAAATAAGTGCTATCATTTTTCATACTGAGAACTAATTTTTGGACAAATTGAAGCTGGTTTTGGTGTTATTTCCTGAGCTATTTAGTACCTATAGCAATTTAGGTACTTCAGGGACTTGCCTGGCAAAAGGATGAGTGTAGTAAGGATGTCAAGTTGAACAAAGCTGAGCATGAAGGGAATATTAAGGAAAAGAGACGAAACCCCACTGGAGTGGCAACTTCAGACTGCAGTCTAGGAAAGGAAAACATCCCAAATGTTGTGTCTACATAACTACACAGTACATTTGGGAGCAGAACTATAATGCAAAGGGTTGCAGATACACAGAATCCTTTGGCATTAGAAATGTCTTACTTCATCTACCAAAAGACTCGATAACGTTTTAGGGTCTGTGAGGTATAATCTGTGTAATTAATAGGAACAATTTTGCATGGAAGTCTGAACTGCCAAGATTTTGTTCTAGCAACACCAGTGAGCACTTGAGCACAGAAAATACAGACCTGCTTGCTTTGATTAAGATAACTTTGATTTTCCGTCCTTTATGCCAAATCCAGAAGTCCTGTTCAAAATTCTATTCAGAATTTTCTTTTCTAAGATCTCCACTGACCTTAATTTTGTCCTGGAGGTATCCCTTTTCTAGCTAAAGACATCTGATTTTTTGAGTAGATTTTCATCGAGCTATCGTCATTCCAGCTCTGTGTTTGAAAGCTAATCCTGTTTTTATGACAGCCAAGCAAAATGATTTATTGTGGTTATCCACAGACTGGTAAGCAGCAGCATTGCTCTTAGTGTCCCTCACCTTGACCTGCATGAGTACCTTTCAGACTCAGGAAAGTGATTTAGTCTCAATATCTTCTTGGTCTTTGATCTTAACTGAAACTGCCACCATGGGAAGCAATAAGTACAACTTGTCGTGTTATATTTTACAGTGGTCATTTGTTCACATGGAAGTGAATTGAAATCTACTGTTTCACTTAGAAAAGGCCAGTAGATACAGACCAGACAATACATTAACTACTGTCTAGCACTAGAGAGTTCAATCTGATAAACTAGAACCCAGGAGAGAGCATAACTTTGCACCTTTCCTTAGATTTTCAAGTCTCTCCTTAGTTTGTTGGAGTACTTTAATCATATTTTAGAAGTTAAGATTAGAATTTCTTAAGAATTTTCTAAATAGGCAGCACTAAATTCTATATTACATGGAATGAATTAAAACAGCAGGCTGTTAATAATAATGTCTTTCCTCTTTATTGGACATAAAATCAAACAAGGCCAATTAAATAGGGGGGTTATTTCACACCCTCCCTCCTCCCCACACTGAGGAAAACAACCATAGTTGTCAA